TCTATAGAATGGTTTTCTGCGTCCGATTATGAATCAAAAAAGAAAAAACATGAAAGTTGTTTATTTTAATGTAAGGAATTTTTAGAATTGGTTTTTTCTTTTTTGCTTTGTATCGTAAGCATTCTTTATTTTACGTTTTTTAGTTCCTAAATAATGATTTTTATTGAAACTTGAGATTTTTTGATAAAAATTGTTGTCAAAAAACGTTTTTTACTAAAGTAAATTTCCTAAAATTATGAGGCTTATGTATACTTTTTGTTCATTTTTATTTTTGAAGTAATATTATTCTTAAAACTATGGAATGTAAAGTTTAAATAGGCCTTTCATGTTATATCATTAAATTTAGTAAAACTATTTCTCGGGCATTAGGTTTTAACTCTTATAAGAATATACATATTTTTTTCTGTTTATGTGCAAATATTTTTCCGAGGTGTTTTGGATGTTCCTTTCTTAAAAAAAAGAGATACCATTTTGTTTTCGTTTGCATAAGATAGGATATCAAACATTTTTCTTTTTTAAATTTAATCAGCCACGATAAAGAAGGAACGTTGCAATGATACACGCTACATTAAAGACGTCTCTAGAGTAAATGAATGACTGTTCATATAGAAATCGCAGGCATTAGTCTCATACAACAACGCCCCCTATAGTTCGTTGCGATCGCGAATACTTTTATGACTTTTATTATTTTTATGCTAGTGAGAACCAAAACAATATGGAAATGAATGAGGGAAAACTGGATCCTACCACGTGATTTCCTGGCCAATAAAAATGTAGCGTTAAACGTTTAACGCAACCTTGTTGGAAGTCGCATAAGAAGTATAACTTCAAAAAGAAAAGAATTTGTTTCTTTTGCTGCCGTCAGTATACAATTATTAAAAGTTATAATTGTATTTTTTATTTTGTAAAATACTTCTTTATTTCTTTTTTAACAGCATTTAACGGTAGCATTTATTTGTCATCCTTTCTTAATAATATTCTTCGGTTCATTACTATTTTACCAAAATAACTGATTTTTTTTATTTATTTCCAATGAGCTGCACAATCAGTCTTCCCGATGAGCAGACCTAGTGCGTTCTCCAGAAGTGGTATCCACTCGTTCAGGACCACCACAATGGGTGAAATACCGTTGGGCTTGTTAATTTGGTCGTCTAGTTTTTGCCACACTAGATGGCAGCACCGAGACTCAATTTGATACTAAAGTGCACCAGTAATTTAATTTTGCCGGAAATGCCAAGAGCCAATAAGGCACTCCAGGGATCTTTTACATGCCGCATAATCATACGACATGGCCGATGAGGATTTTCTGCATCCTGAAAATTTGGTCTCTCTGCCGGGGATCGAACCCGCAGACTTGGGCTCAGAAGGGCGACGACAAACCAACTGCACCACCCAGCCAACCAAATTAAATGATTTAAAACTAAAACTGGCGTTTGTTTATTATAACGCAATCCTATAATATTATTACATTACTCCACATTTTATGCTAAGCACATTGCCAAACTTTATACACAGCTGTTTTACAAGTGTGAAACAGTAAAATTAACTGAACTATATTTACATTCTTAGTACCTAGTTAATATATGCTATTTTAATGAAGAGTTTTTTTAAAATTGAACAAAAAGCTTATAAGAATTAACATGGAAGATAAAATGGAAAATTTATCACGTAAATGGCATGTCTACTTTATATTGACGTTAATATTTAATGTTAATCAAGGCATTTAATTTTCACGAATTATATTTTTAGTACCTTCGCTTTGTTTTTCTATGTATAAAATTAAAAAAATGTGTCTTTATCATGCTCTCTGTCTTTACATGCCATGAAAAGAAACTGGCCAAAAAACGCTTTGTTGTTGTCGGCACAATCTTAATTAATTGAAAAATCACATCATGGGATCCTTAATTAAAAAAGAAAATTCGTATTTCTTTCGCTGTCTTCAGTATGAAATCAATAAAAGTTATAAATGTATTTCTAACTTGTAAAATACTTCTTTATTCTTTTTTTTAACGGCATTTCACTGTAGAGTTTATTTATCATCCTTTCTTATTTATATTCTCCGGTTCATTACTATTTTACCAAATTAAAATATTTCAAACTGAAATTGTCGCTTCTGTATAATAAAGCAATTCTATAATATTATTACATTACTTAACATTTTATGCTAAACACTATACACAGCCGTTTTACAAGTGTAAAACAGTAAAATTAACCAGGCTGCATTTACGTTATTAGTACCCAGTCAATGTAAGCAAATAAATTAGGGAATTTTAAATTGATAAATTCAAAATTAACTTTTCTCACTATTGCTAAATAATCTCTTGTTCAAAATTATAATTTCATACTATGACTAAATAGTGTCTTGCTGGAAATTAACTTCTCATTCTATTTCCAAATGATCTCTTGCTTAAAAAACATTTAACTTATTTTAATAGTCAACAAAAATTTCATATGAAAAGAAATTTGGATGTAGTTGCAATTGTAATTGAGTAATATATTAGGTTTAAGATTTATCGAAATAGAATCGGGAACTAAATTTGAAGAAACAAATCTGTGATAATATAATAAAATAGGTTTTGGGATCTTTCGGAGGAATTTTTTTTTTTTTTTAATTTTGCTATGACAACCTATTTATCATTAAGGAGAAAAAAAGATTATGTAGAAATTAGGAGGTTGGAGTGAAAAGTGAACAGGGGATGTCGACCCCTAGGAAGCTGTAAAAAGGACTTCAATAAATTATGCCCGATTACTTTATGTTAGAGCGCAAACATATTTTTATTATACGATCAAATTTTTGCTTTTACAATGTATTTTTTTTAATTATAGGGGTACTTTGAGCAATATTTTCTCCTTTAGAATTTTAGAATGTATACTTAGATCATAGAATAGTTCTCCCTTCATTTTATGAGAATTGTGGATCTCTTTTTCTTGTAGTTTGCTAACATTCTGGGACCAGAGACAGGAATGGTTCATTATAAAATGCTCATTCTTTAGATCATTTTTAAACTTTTTTTTAAATGACCTTTGAATGGCTACACTAATTTACCTGGAAGTTATTTTGTGAGCAAGTTAACCAATAAAATTTTGTAGATGATGATGATTTTGTGGATGACGATGACGAATTTGTAGATGATGATGATTATGATTTTGTAGATGATGATGATGGTTATGATTTCGTAGATGAAGATGATGATATAAAAGACTCGAATCCGAAACTATCTAACTGCATTATATAGAATTATTCAGAAACCATCATAGTTTTTATAAGTAGGTTAAGAACGATGGAAACAACTTACCAACGATTCTTTCCTAGAGAATTGATTTTTTCTTAGGTTAAAACCCTGTACCGAATGATGCTGTACTTAAGAGACAGTTTTTATCAAACAACATTTATTAGAAACAACAAACACACACCAACAAATCTAACATAATTTATAATTCTCGCAACGGATTATTTAAAATAAATAAAAAATAATCTCAACAAACACAACTAACTCTTAGAAGTCCCTAAATTGTCTGTTTCTTTTAATTTCTTTTCTTGACCCTGTTGTACTGTTTTTCTATTAGTACCTATGTTGTTTTTAGACTCCGTCCTTAGACAAAATTTACTCCCATTTTATTATAATAAATAGGTTTCTTTAAATTACTCGTGGAGTTGGATTATATCAATCATGTCAAATCATGTCAATATCAATCAATCATGTCAATATCAAAATCATGGAGTTGGATTATATTTTCCCCAAAAGTCTCCCATATATTATGGCTGGTTTAATTGAATAATACATTTTCACCTTAATACGACTCAGTAATATGTTTGAACTGTTATGGACATGAATTAAAAAATATAAAATACTGATAAGAAATCAATACAGGCTAAAGAAAATACGTTAGAAATGGTATAAGGTGCCAAAATATAAGGTATAAAATTAGATATTTATCTAATATTAGATTAAATTATCCTTATATTTTCAATAAAACAATAGCAACGGCATTTTATTGTACAAATCAAAAAAACAATTGCAAATTATTAACTTCCAGATGACTTTTATGGGTGAGCCATCAACCCATTCATAGCAACTCCTGGTACCTCATTGAAGACCTCTAGCAGTCGATATGCAATAAGGCCATTAAACCGTTTTTAAAAAAGCATACAAACAATGTTATTATGTCTAAACAACGTGAATATTATTAGAAAGAACTAAATCAATGTTAGTCTCAGTTCTTAATAAGCTATTTACATTGTAAATTTCAAAGAAAAGTACAAAATAAGTAGCTTCGTGTATAAGAACTTTCAATGGGACTTACCGAACGGTCAAGATGTCTCTTTAAAAACATTCAATGTACATTAAACATTCAATAAGTAACACCTGCTGTCAATAACAATATAATGATGAAGACAATGAAGAAGTCGATTTAATGTCAGCAACCTTCATCTTCAATAAATTGCAAGAACACTTTTTAATTGCAAGAATTCATAAAATAAAATAAAAACATTTTAATTTTTTTTTTTAAGTGGGAAAATACCAATTTTATTTGATTAAAAACTACATCAGAAAATTTTGCATCTCTACAACTTGATTAAAAAAAGAATTTATAGACAAAAATAATGCACAAATGCATTTTCCAGGTCTAATTAAAAAATCAGGCTCTTTACAAAAGTTGCCGGTAATTTGCAATGCACCAGGCAAATGGGAAAAAGTTTTAAGTATTTTACAATCCACTATATTATTTCCAAAATTTTACTATATTATTTCCAGAAAGCTGAGATATCTTTTATTTCCAGGTCATGCCATTTACCAGCGGAGATACTTCATAGCATTTTTGTTTTTTCTCAGTCTCGTTGTATCACAATCGCAGCGTTTAAATTTGAGTTTTGCATTAGTGGACATGGTGAATGTTACTGAACATCATTCAAATGGTTTGAATACAACTGAATGTCCTGACCTAAGAAATGACACTGGTACAAAAAATGTAACTATAATTCACTTTTATTTGATTTTCGCCGAAATACAAATTTAAATCCTTAATAATCACATTCAAAATACTAAATATTTTTTTACATACTCTATGCTTGTATAGGTAGAAACAAAATTGCAAGGAAACTGATACAGGTGGAATCTTAAATAGCAGGCAGCATTACGGCAAACATTGTATTTTCATTTTCATTTGATTGGAATAGAAAAATTTATTAATCTTTTTCTTTCCTCTTTTTTATTTTAGAAAAAAAAAATTCTGAAAACTGAGGTCTTAATATGCTTTTTCATTTACGTATAAACAGATAATTTACTCAAACATTAAAAGAAAATAGTGTTAAACAAACGTTATAAGAAAACATTTTTCATTGTCGATAGATCTCTATTTTAGTATTTTGTCGAAAACGCTTTTTTTCACGAATTTATACATTACGAATTTATTTGACGATTTTTTATTTACATCACGAATTATACTATAGCACATTTCTAATAGGTTTAACGAATTACATGTCATTTATTTGAATTCAAATTTATTTTAATGACTTAGTATTTACTAAAAAGATGTAATTTTTTTATATGGATTTGAATGATTGTTTTGAATTCTTAGAATTGTGTGCATTTGCAATGTACCTAAGTTAGTAGCGAGCGAAGCGATCTTGGTACGCGAAGCAAACCATTTAAGATTGCGTAGCAATTTTCGGGGGTTGGCGAGCGTTAGCGAGCAGGGGGAGCAGCCCACTAGTAATTTTATAAAATAAGTTTGACTTACTTATGCGAGGAGGAATTTTAAATCTTATTTTAAATAAATTTTAATTTTTGTGGGACTGATATCCAATTTTGGCCAGACAATATGGAATGCTTATAAACGTTTTATTGAGACAAAAAAGCACTAACGCGAAATGTATAATCTTTTATACACTGGACACTAAAAATAATGAAATGAGGTGTTAGAATATTGCATGTTGTGAGCATTGCATGTTTTATATATTCCATGTTTTATACATTGCATGTTGTGAACATTATTTCGAAAATGAAAATGTGCTTCAGAGACATACTGAGAATAGATCATATTATATACCCCCTCCGAGTTTCACCCCTTTTACGTAAATATACCCCCTAACGTGTTATATAACCATGTTTGATTTTAATATTAAAACAAATAACTTTTACTTAGATAAATATATGTAGATGCAAAATCAATCACAATTTGCAAATCTACATAACATTTATGTAGATTATTACGTAACAATTATTTAAATGCATTTAAAATAAAATTCTTGCTACTTTCTTTTCACATTAGTATTGCAACTCAAATGCAACTGTAAATCCTGTCGAAGGCAACAAGGCCAGTGTCAAACCATGAAGAAGTGAATTCGTATTTTATATTTTATTTTATAACCGTCGTTTAACATAACCAATGTTCATCTCCGACAGCCAATGTTCATCTCCGTAGCCTAATAATTTTGAGCGCGATCCAGAAGACAAGGAAATTTGCCTTCATGGAGGACTTTTTGATGGACCTAACCCACATTTGCGTTACATGGAGAGGAAAATCACGAAAAACTCCCAGAGTTAGTCTGACTGCAAAGGGACTTTTTTTTTTCTTTCCTCCAAGCCCTGGGCATGTACCTAGGTTATGAAAAACCCTTAACCATATAGCCCAAGACTTGGCCACTAATCCAGCTCCACTCCAGCCTACATAACATGATATTTAAAAAAAATATGTATATATTTTTTTTTTACTTAAAGTGTGGAATTTAAGAAGAAATAAGACAAAAAAAAATATACATGTGAAATGGGAAATTAGTAAAAAGAAATGAATAAAATAAATTAATAAGAAAGTAAGAGAAAAAAAATATAGCGTTAAAAAAACTAATAGAGATGAAAGTATTACTAGATATAGAGAAATCTTAATAAACAAATATATATATATATATATGTCTTTTTAGTAAGGATGTGTATAGACTTGATTGGATTGACGTAGCTCTTTTAGATCGTGCAAGTAAGTTGGGCAGGAAGGTGAGGAGGCTCTGTGATTACAGTCCAGATTTAAATTGGAGTCTTGGTTGGATGAGTGACAGTTTATGCAGAATTCTTCTTTTTCTGTGCAATTTTCGATACTATGACCTTTGTATCCGCACTTCTCACAATAACAGTATGACTCAATACATGTGTTTTGGTGATGACCTATTGTCTGGCATTTTCTGCACCTTAATAAAACCAGTCTTTTTTTAATTGTGCAACGTTGTAGACCAGCGTAGAAATAATTAAGATTCAAAAGCTTGATGGAGAGTTTTCTGTTGACTCTTATGATGATGTGTCTCTTAGAATTATCTCTTTTATGTGGGATTTCTTTGGTCAGTTTGATGATATCATAGGCAGGGTTGAAATTGCCATTGATTTTTATCAAGTTAATAATCTCAGTTTCTGTGAATGTGACAGGTGTGTTAAGAAGAATTAGAGAGAACAACTTTACGTCTTTGTCGTGATATTGGATGCCTGTCTTTTGTAAGGTTGAGAGGACCGTTTCCTTATGTTGATTGTTATGAAACTTTAGTTCTAGCATCTTGCTGCTTCTATAGACTTTTTTCACGGGCAGTTTAGGTTCTTCCTGAATCAGCCTTTCCACAATATCAGTTGTGGAGCAGTCTTCTTGTGGTTTTACTATTATTGGTTTTGGTGGTATTATTACTCGTGGAACATCAACATTGATAGAGGTGGTATTTTCTAATTTTTCGAGTCTTGCGTTGATGGTCTTTAGATTCTCTTCAATTTGATTTAGTGGGTTTGAGGAGTGAACATTTAATGAAAAGTCATCAAGTTTTATTCGCATATAGTCAATTTTCTTGTCCAAAGATGTTTGGAAGTTTCTAGAATTTATCAAGTCATGAGTTTCTTGTTCCGAAGTTATCTTCCTTATTTGTTGAATTGCATTGATACAAGCAGATCGTGGTTCTTGCGGAAGGAATATTTTCTTATGATTGCTGTAGTTGATGTTTTTCTCTATTATATGTAGAAGGCGTTCTATATCCGTTTTAGTCTGTGACATGATGGAGGTATTTTTGTTGGTAGAAGTTGGAGTATCACTGATGATGCAGTCGTTGGTTACCGGAGAAGTATGTTCATAGACAGAAGTGAGATCAACGATTACTGAAGGTGATGTATTAGTATCAGGACATTGTATGGTTTTATTATCTTTTCGATGAGAATTTTTTGATCTGGAAGGAGTTTCTGTGAGTGAGATATTATAGTCAACTCTTTGAAAGTTTTGTGTAACTCTGCGTTGGGATCTTGCTGATCTTGCAGGATATTGAAAATTGTCTGTAACTTGTGAATTAGCCATGAAAGAAGGTAGTCAATATGTAAGCAGAAAGGGTAAATAGAGGGCTTTAAAAACGCTAGTTAATGTAAAAATACAAATTAAAAGGAGTGGCGATGGTGAGTCAAAACCTGGCCCCTGAGAAAACCTAGAGTAGAAGTTAATTGAGAACCGATGCTCCATTGATAAGGTATGTCACCGCCAGAGAAAAGAGGTGTGGGAGGATAAATGCGTATTAGATGTGCTGAAAACCTGATAGAATGCAGGAAACAATGAAGGCGGCGCTAGGCAGAGTGAGGAAACTTGATTGGTTGAAGCAGAATGATCATTCATTAATGGATACACTGGCGATGGCATACAAGTACTAAACGTTGCCTAATGAAAATTTAACTAGAAACATATATGATAATTTAAGACAGTTAACTATATATCAAATTTATTGCTAAATAGATAAGATGCAACAGTAGATAACAACTGGTACTACGCCGGGAAAAGTTATATCAACAAATGTACTAATAAAGAGAGGATAGGCCATTGCTATGCTAACAAACAATTTCTAAGTGCTTAAAAATGGTGAGAGTAAACAAACCGAAGTATTAATAAGTACTACTGTTGATGAGTTGACCTGGGTATTCCATTGGTTGTTAATATCCAAAATCTTCTGGTAGGCTGATGCAAAATATTGCTGGATGGCCTTAAGCTATATATGAGAATGTAAATCTAACTTGAGCTTTGTTATTTGAGAAAAAACATTGTAAAAATGCAAAGAAAAATCAAAATAAAGCACTCGGAGACGATATTGACAATAATATAATAATACATAATTAAAAGAAAAAAAACACTTAGAGATAAATAAAATGGCCCTAATCTATGTAAAAAGAAATGAAAATGAACTAAGACAGCAAATGTATGATAGAATCAATATAATAAAGGTTTGTAAACAATGACTCTGGTATTAACTTAAAAACAGCATGGAATAGGAAAAGCTATTAAAATGAATAATGTCGATTATAAATTTAATTGATTAAAGAATTATGGATATGGCGTGATTTAAAGCACTTAACTGTGTTTGCGATCATAGAGATTGTTTACATTTTGTTATGGGGAATAGAACACCATTAACATGGGAAAGTGATGTCTCTTTGAAATTTAATATAAAGTCAAAAGATGGGTGAAAAATTAAACACAGGGTGGCGGACAATTGAAAACATTTGGGGGAACAACATATAAAAAATTTAGATAGAAATAAAAACGCTAAGATAAAAATTTGAGTGTCCAAAGTCAGAGTTTACAAAATACTAATTTTTACATAGCGATAGCCTAATCCATGATCCGTCTACCACTGAGGATATTTTACGTCAGCACTGGGGCCAGTGCAAGCCGAATGCGGAATTTGTATCGACCAGCCATCGCTGGAATTCGAGCCCGGTTCACCTTATTGGAAGACGAGCGCTCTATCTCCTGAGCCATCACGGCTCAGTGAAATCATATTGACGAGTATAAAGAGGAAGTCACAAAGTTTCGAGTCAGTGAACGATTTTTATCCTTTCCATTTAATTTGTTTCTAAAATATCAATGCCATAGAATCAGAGAAATGTGTCTGCATGGAACAGAATCAATATGGAGCAGCGAAGCGGTGACTCCGTGAAGACGGAAAATAAAGCCGAAAATGAGGGTTCGTGTAGGTAAACCTGCCCGTTGCTACAGGTTCTAGCAATAAAATGAAATGAAATTTTAAAGCCTTCGTTTTTCAAGTGGTCTAGCAGAAGGAAAATAATGCTCATTTTGTCACACCTAAAACGAAAAAAAAAAAAAAAAAAATATGGAGCATCACATTTGACATTCGTAATAAACTTCTTATTACTAGCGAAATAGAAGTTTATTACAAATTTAATAGAAGTTACTCTAAAATCTCTTGAAAATTATGTGCCTTAAGTTTTCCGTTTTAGGTATGACAAAATTGCATTATTTTCTTTAATCGATCTGTTTAATAAGAACAGTTTTTGTTACCTTAATTTCACAAAATTTATTTGAAATTGTCATCGTACAAGTACGTTAGTTTGTTTTTATAAAACTAATCTGACAAATCTAAGAATATTTTCAGAACATCGTTAACATTTTCTTAAGTTAGATGTGCGACATCTCCAATGCCATTTTCGAAAACATGCTTCGAAAAAGTTAAAAAATGCTATACACATTTTTTTTAATTTATTACACAAAATTGGTAATTTGGTGCTTACATATGAGTAATATACTCAAACATTTGTTTTATTTAGTTAGTTAAAACTGTTTTAATTGTTATATTTGAAAAGGATCACAAATAATACAATGATAGTGAATTATTTTTAGGAAAATGCAGAGTTTTCTTGGGATGCGGAACTTCAAGGACTGATCATAAGTTCTCAATACATTGGATATTGCATCGCGCAGTTTCCAGGAGGTCTTTTATGTGAACTATTGGGTGTTAAGAAAATGATATTAATCAACATAATTATTGGTTCGTTGTGCAACTTACTCTCACCAATTGCAGCTAGAACAGATCCATATTTGCTTTTTGTTGCACACCTCATAAAAGGAGTGGGGCAGGTAAAAATTTACCAAGCACATTCCAGATTTCATTTATTAGTTGCAACAACATCTAAAGTAGGTTATCTTATGCAAATTAAACTCTCACAAACAAAGAATTTGGTCTTAAAACATAATTGATCTACTTTCATAAAATTCACGATAAACAAGAATTAAATTTAAATATCAAAATATTTCAAATTATTTTAATTTAGGGCACTTATTCAGTACCTATATTTTACTCCGATGTGGAATACCTACGTTAGTTACCTAATAGCGTAATTAATTGATCTTCACTTCCGTCAAACAGCACCTCGTACTTTTTTATGGCCATCAAAGCGGATATATACCAAATAAAGTTAGTGGTTTAGGGTGTTTTTGAAAATCGTCTTTGTGTATTTTTCTTTATAAGTCATTATATGAACTGAACATTATTCCAAGCTTTTGAAGGAATATATATATATATTTTCTTCTTTTGTAAGAAATTTTTTTTCTTCTACAAAACCATTTTGGCCAATTTAGTTGTTTTTTTGCAGGTTCTTGCTCGTCGTAAATGAAACTTAAAGTTCCACAGTTTTGCCGAACCGAAAATTCTTATTTCCAAAAATATTTACTTGCTTCGGTCGTAACTAATAAATATTGGATAATGCCCAAGTAATTTAACTTGTAAAAAATTACGTAATTTCATGTGACTAATTAAGTAACTATTAATTTGTTTTGACGATTGGATTTGGTAACACTCTTCCTTTCACTCAGCTTAGCTAAGATCTCAAAAGGCTGGGATAGCCTGGTTGATAAGGCGTTCGGCCACTGTCCGGGAGGTCGAGAGCTTGAAATCCGTCGGCTAAAGGCTCACGTGTATAAAAGAGTGACTCCCTAATTCGTCGTGGTTACAACATCCTCCAAGTTTCCAAAACAAATCAACTCCTGGAGGTACTGGATCGGAGATTGATTGTTCTCTGTTTCAGGTTAAAGTTACGATGTGTGAAGGGATGAGTGACATGTGAATGAGTCCTCCTTATTAAACGGGCTGTGATGTATGTATGTGGAAAAAGTTAAATTCTTGACCACAGATGACACCACTGGAAAACAAGAAGCGTCCACCTTCTGCCCTGACGCTTGCTGGTATTGGCAAGTGGCATAAGACGGCAACAAAGTCTCAAACTTCATCGATTTCTTACCAATCTCCATTCTGAATTTTGACAGTAATGACACATTCTCCATAAATAATGAAGTTTCGTGACAAGGAGTTTCTTTTTGTACTACTTCGGTGTTTTTTGTCTGACAAATCAACACCTCCTAGAAGTAGGAAGGACTCAGCATGGATCAATTTAGTAGTCCGATGTGACGAAGTTAACTGCGCAGTAGATGAAAAATAAGAAAGATGTCATTACGTTCAGGGTACTAAGCTGCGCAGTGGTTGAAAATACGAAATATGTCATTACGTTTGGACTACTAAAGGATATTTATAGTAACCCGTGCTGAGGCCTGCTCTTTTCTAAGAGGTGTTGGACAAATGCCATAGGGAAATTATTTACTAACAGAACATTTTTTGGGGTCATTTTTTTCTTCCTTTTCAGTACTTTTGGTTAAACGAAACCGTAATTGTGGTACCAAAGTTAAGTTACTGGTTTCCCATGTACTATAATTCTTACTCTCCCAACTGTAAAATTTCTGCTTCAAAATAAGTTCTGTCTGCATTGAACAGTACTCCAAAATATGTTCCTTGAATACAATTAAGGCAGTTTTTCGAAATTTCCGTAGTAAAATGAAGTGATACTTTTTGCAAATAATATGCTATTTTTATATCTGCTGTGAGTTTATAACTGTTACTCATGACTGGAAGGTCAAGTTTAGCCTATCTAAAGCCAGCTCTGTCCACACTCATTTTGAAATTGGCGCAAAACGTCTGTATGGACAAAAGTCACAATTTTATGAAAATGAAAATTGTTTGTGGTCTAATTTTTTAACATTTAAAAACTTACTCCAATTCAGCATTACTTGAGCTCATTAAAATTTGCAAAAACTGAAAATAAGGCAGCGATTCTGATAATTTTCATCTAGATAAAAAATATGCCAAATTGGCGAGTTTTTAAAAGAAGTTTGATACAGTTTTAAATATTTAAACTATTTGTCAGGTCTAAGGCCCAGATAATTCTTCACGTTAAGATAATATGTATCGTTAAAAAATAATGGCATTGCTTCGAGTATAACGCACTTAAACTATGGCTTTATTATTTTCTTTGGCGACAGAGCTTCGAAAAACAGCGTTAATGTAATCTAATATATATAATTCTCTTACGTGGCTCCCAAATTTTGGCTGAAGTACTTTGTACAACTAAATAGGATTCTTTTCACAACACTTAAATATTTACTTTATTTTCTTCATTTATAGAGAAAACAGTCGGTAAAGAATTCTGTTAGGTTAAAAAACATTTCGCTAAAAAACGAACGAATTCTAAAAGAAATAAAAATAAACAACTTAAAAAATAAAAATGCTGTTGCCAGCCATAGAATTTTTTGAAAGTTAACTTAGTAACATAAATCAAAATGACATAGAAGCGCAACTAGATCAAAATTAAGATACCTGAGCGCTTGACGTAACAAATCCTTAAATTCTATAAGTGTTGTATCCCCAAATGCCCAAATTAACAATTGTGTTTTTAAAGAAATTCTCTCTCTCTCTCTACTATTCAGACTACTATTTCATATTGTTTTACAACACATGGTTTTAACACTCTGGTGGGAAAGACTTTGAAACAAAACTTACAACAGTTACTTTTCTCAACAACTGAAATTTAGAATAGTGTGATTAAGAAAAATATGTGAACTGCTTGCAATTTCAAATTAATATTGAAATGTACAGGTTTAGAATTTTCTACAGTGAAAAGTTTTCGGAACTTCAGTATTCAAAAAAGTATACTAAAGCTGGACGTTAAGAACGTATGCAATGAGCGAGCATTGGATAGCGAAGCAATCCGAAATGAACTGCGAAAGCAGTTCCGGGGGTTTGGCGAGCGCCAGCGAGCAGGGGGCGAAGCCTCCTAATATTTTAAAATATGTTCTACGCATTAAAAGTGGAATAAAGAATATATTAGTGGTCGCATCTGAATATTTAATCAGAAAGAATCAAAATTATTATACCCCGATTATTTTTTTTTCACTTTATATTAAGTGTCAAGGAATCTGAAAAATCTTATTTCGTGTGGTGATTACAAGATACCATATATATAGAATACTATATGTCTGAATGCCATGCTTATCAGAACACATGACTACAGGACACCATGTGTCTGAATGCTAGGCTTATCAGAACATATGACTACAGAACACGTGTCTGAATGCTAGGCTTATCAGAATACCGTGTGTCTGAATGCTAGGCTTATCAGAACACCGTGTGTCTGAATGCTAGGCTTATCAGAACATATGATTACAGAACACCATGTGTATTAATCTTGTAATAATGATTATAGTGAAAAATTCCAGGGTCTACCTCTTGCTGCTCAGGCACTTCTATCAGCTCGATGGTTCCCGAAACCTGAGAAAGGATTCCTTTCTGCATTCGTCTTATCAGGTTATCCTTTGGGAGCTTTTCTAGGGAGTGCAATATCTGGCCCAGTGTGTGCTTTAGAGCTTGATGGTGGTTGGCCTTTGGTTTTCTACATTTTTGGTACACGTATTTTGATTAATCCATATTTAATTTAATTTCCGTGCTTACGAATTGCTCTGGAAAATTTTGATTGATATAAAAATATAACGCAGATAAACTAAGCAGAAATTGCTTGTTATGTATTTAATTCCAGCAAAATTCTAACTTTTAAATGAGCCAGTTGTTTTTTTTCATTCGATAAGTTTTAATTTTAGGCATTCGGTATAGTATAAATTATAATTCAAATAATATTTTGTACTTGCAAAAAAATGATAGAAAAGTGTCTTTAAAATATTGTGATTTATAGAACATATAAATGATTGCATAAAGTGAGAGGACGATCTCGATGTTTTTGAAAACACTTTTTATAATTATTATTTTAATAATTTAAAAAATTTTAATGATTTGTGTTCAATATTCATGGACGGAACATTGTGAAAAATCATTTATTAATCTTGAAAGGTAAATTCTTTGAAACAATTATGTCTAAATACTGAATGATTGACAGCGCCAAATATTTATTAACAGACAATCGACAGTTATGCATTCTTTTTTCTCTCTCATTATTCATACTCAGATATTGTGAGATCACTGTAGAATTGCTACACTGAGAACATTTTTAGTTTGTTCCGACTGAAAATATGGTTCAACGCAACAATGATACTGTATTAAATTGAGACATATTATCATGCATATTAATTTTTTAAGTTTAATTTCATGATCTTATGGTTCAACTTTAACGTAAGTACGGTTCATTTATCACTTTATTGAAGTTGCAGCAAATTTTCACCGTATTATAATTAAAGGCCACGTTAACCACGTTAAACCAGTTTTTTTGGCGAGTAAAAGTTAGTAAGCTTTTTCTTCATTATTAGTAAGCATAGTTCATGGCATAGGTTCATAAACACAAATTAACATAGTTATTTACGCATATTTTTTTCAGGTTTTTTTGGAATTTTTATAAGCATTTTTATTATGATATTTTATGTTGAAAAACCAACTGATGATCCTAACATATCAGACAATGAGCTGAAGTATATCTTAGAAAATATAAACTCAATGGATACAGTAAAAGTAAGTTTGCAAATACATTCTAATCATCTTAATTATGACTAAATACTTTCAAAATAATATATTATTTTGCTAGAAACTTCTTATGATAATATTTTTTTCAATATTACGTATTCTTTTAACATTTTTACGCTTATGAATCAAAACTTTACAGCCATTAAAACTCTCAAATATGTTTTATTTTCCTTTCATGTTTTTCTTAACACAAATAATTTAAAGCCTATTCGTTAATAGTAAAAATTCTATCATTTTAAATTCACACACCTATTTCTTTTTCATTTTAGGAAAGTTTAAACAAATTGAAAGTAATTGTATGTTCTTTTTCATTGAAATTACGTTTTAATCTTTTAACGTTTATTCTCTTGGACTAAGTAAAAGTGTATGATGATTTAAAGTTAAGATTATGTTTCAAATATGTTGTGGTAATTAATTAGTTATATTTTCTATTTACTTTTTTCAAACAGCGTCCTCCTACACCATGGGGTGAGATTATGGCTTCAGTCTCAACTTACTCTTTAATATTAGCATTGTTTGGACAGAATTGGATGAGTTTTTACTTTTTGTCGGTCCATCCATTATACATGGACACTATTCTTAAGATACCTATAAAAGAGGTAAAAATATTTTTGAATTGGGATTCAATGAACTAAAATCTCAACTTACTCTTTAATAATAGCATCGCTTGGACAGAACTGGATGAATTTTTACCATTTAACTGTCCATTCATTATGTATGGACACTATTCTCAAGATACTTATAAAAGAGGTAAAGAAAATTTAAATTGGGATTCAATCACATTAAATTTCAACTTACAATCTCAATAAACATTTTTAAATTGGGTTTCAATCAACTTCAATATCAACTTATTCTTTAAGACTAGCATTGCTTGGACAGAGCTGAATGAATTTTTACCATTTAACTGTTCCATCCATTAGATATGGACACTATTCTCAAGATACGTATAAAAGAGGCAAAAAAAGTTAAATTGGGATTCGATCAAATTAAATTTCAACTTACTTCTCAATAAACATTTTTAAATTGGGATTCAATCAACCTCAATATCAACTTATTCTTTAATACTAGCATTGCCTGGACAGAACTGGATGAATTTTTTCCAATAGACTGTTCTATTCTGAAGATGCGTATAAAAGATGCTAAAAAAATTTAAATTGGGATTCAATCAAATTAAATTTCAACTTACAATCTCAATAAACATTTTTAAATTGGGATTCAATCAATTTCAATATCAACTTACTCTTTAATATTAGCATTGGTTGGACAAAACTAGATGGATTTTTACTATTTGACTGTCCATCCATTATATATGGACACTATTCTCAAGATACCTACAAGAGAGGTAAAAAAAATTAATTGGGTTTCAAGAAGAAAAAAAATTATCGTAACATTTATATTTAAAATTTCTCAGCATTTTTGTTGTTGATTAAATCACTATTCTATATTTTATTGTTCCTGACCTCAATTGTAATTGTTAAAAAATTGTTTGAATGTTTTCTTCACGAAAACATCTGCTTTTCCGTTTTCTCCTTATTTAAACAGTTTATCATTTTGTTCTGAATAATTCACCAGGTGAATGGTGCTGAGCCTATGTGAATTTTGTGAATTCACGATCTCAAAGCTCGAATACGCCATTTTGGAAGAAGACCGGTTCAATGTCTTGACCCTCCCCCTCTCCCTCTCCTTCTCTTTTCAGTTGTATAGGAATGAACTACGGTATTTTCCCCTTTCGTAATATTTTTCGTATTTAACTGTCACAAATATTTTTTTAAAATTTCTACGATGCTTTCTTTTTGAACTGTGTTCAATGTAGTTTTAAGTTCTGTATAGTTTCCTAACTTAAAAGTTTTTAATCTATTTGAAAATCAAGGCAGAAATTAACGTACTTATCTCTGTTGTTTCCAATCCCAGCTGGGATAGCGGAGCTATACCAGATCCATGAGGCATTGAGTCTTCAAAAAATCGAGGAAAAGGAGAGGTCTCTCAAGAACCTTTTCCATGATGAAATCCAGGCAATCAAGTAGATGGTGAGGACTAGCCTTGCTGGATTTGCACTTTTTACAAGTTGGAAAAAGTTTAATTTGTCCACTGAAAGTGAGGCTCTTAGTATGCCCGCTGACAAATCTACAGGTAGTGGTTTGGTCGGCACGTGTACCCTGGAGGTCAAGTGCTCCTCCAGGACGCTTGCGGGGATACCAATTGTGATCAGGTGGGACAAGCCAAGCTTTATTAACTTAAGATTTGCGGATAGAAAATTATTCAGAGTAAGTGAGGGCCGTGTTTGTAGACGCTAATGGGGAAAGCATGCGAAGTGTTGCACGAGGTTCTGCTCTACGCTACCTGTAGCCCATTTCGCACTTACGAAAAACTGTAGTTAAACCTTTATTAGTCACTTAAAACAAATTGAAAGTCAGATAAGCATATTTTTTTCTGTATTATAGCTATCTGTATTTAACACCCTACTTTGAAAGTAAAAGACATAATTTTTCGTTTTTGAGTACAAAATTATTTTCTTTTCATTCCTTGAGATATTATTGTATTTTTATTCAATTGTATCATGGTATTCTTACATTTTTTTTGAAAATCTTGCTTCATTCAAATATCATTGTGCAATGTGCTCATAGAAACACTTGCAGATCTTTTAATCAACCCTTTGTGTTTTTAATTTATATTTTCATCTAGGTGACTCATTCAGTACAGAGTTCCCCAATATTATTGACTATTGAGTTAAACATAAATTATTAACTTTTACAGAATGGATTGCTAACATCAGGACCTCATTTTGCACAACTTGTTGCAGGCGTCACAGTCTGTCTGTTTTCTTACTGGATAAATAAAAATGATACTTCTAAAATAAATATAGCTAGAAAAGGATGCAATTCGTTTGGTAAGTTATAAATAGTAATACATTTTATAAAAATATATAAAATTAACTTCAATGTTCTGACCATTTTACAAATTTAGAATTTTTATTAAGAAACATGCTAAAAAAATGCTCTAATCCTAATACAGAGAGAGAGAGCATATTTTTTTCTGTTTTAATCCGTTACTCATGCACTATGTTTGAAAAATTCCCGTTCTATTGACAGATTTCCCCCGCATATTTGAAATTGACGTTTTAATCCTGCTTTGTTGACAAAATTATTATTCTCCATTTTTCATCATCAGCGGATTAAGACAGTCAGCTAAAATGCTAGTTATTGCCATGCAATTTTGCTTATCATACGTGAACTCAACCTTTTTTTTTCCTTTCCAACTATTTTACGAGTATTTTCCATACCCGCTCTCGTTTTTTCAACGATTATTTTATGGTTTTGAACATTGTATAAATAAAATTGCGTTTAGGTTTTATTCTCAAATCGATAAACCATAGACTCGATAATCGATCGAAACGATTGCGTTTCGATTTTATTCTCAAATCGAAACCTGATTATTTTATTTCTTTAGATATAAACTTTTGTTCTTTCACTACAGTTTTATTCTTTCTTACACTTAAATATTATTTCAATAAGTAAGATTTTTAAGATAAAAACAGTTTAATATTTTTTTTCCCTCCTGAGTCACTAAAGTTACAATAACTCAGAGGACGAAGCACTCGCCTACCACTCAGGTGGCCCAGGTTCAACTGCTAGTGTTGATTGGTAGTACAGATTCTGGATTAAAAATATTCGTGGATGTATTATAATTACTATCTCAAGAATTTTAATTATTGTTTTCATTTTCCTTTTCACTTTTAGCTGTGATATTGTTTGTTTTTGGACTCGGCGGTATATATTTGTCAGGATGTGATATTCTTTGGAATGAATTCTTTCTTATCCTCTCTACTGCATCAGCAGGTTTTACTTTTGGAGGATGTTTGATAGTTGCTGTTGACATGACGCCAACATATTGTGGTAAGTATACCGGAAACATATTCGATTTAACAATTCATAAAAGAACAATTGATTCAATCGTGTAAGGGATTGCAAAGCAAACTGAACTGATAGGTCAAACCGACCCTTCTCAATTTTTCGAGAAATCTGCAGTTATCTAGAAATAAGGAAATTAAGTTAATGAAAACAAAATGCATTTAAAGGAAGAAGAAAGAATTCGGTTAAAGAAATTGACTATAAGGTACTTAGGTTATAATATTTGGTTACTATCTACCTCGAGGTATAGTTATTTTTTTTAAATAAGAACTAACTACATTTTAGTTAATTTGCTGTCATGTGTATATCCTTCAAACAGAATTTTGACCATTATCCGACTAGCTCAATGTTATCCAACTTACATGACGCCCGGCGCTGCAATTAAAAACACCAGCTAATGGCGGGCCGCAACTTTATCAAAATTTTATATAGGACTCTTTTATGTTTGAAGGAACATTAAATATTGCAGTCAGATTTTTATCAAGTTGTACAAAACAAAGGTATTATTTTGTAACACGATTATTTTTGTATTTGAATAAGTATTTTCTTGAATGCAAAACCTGAGAAATAAATTATTTTGCATCGTTGTTTTGCTAAATTTCTTAGAAACGGAGAAATTAGGTCTTTTTTTTAACGTAAGAAAAGTATTTTAAACCTATACTGATTTTTTACGAAAATTGTCCGCGAAAATATGACAACTAATATATTTCAGTTCGCGGGCCACAGAAAAGGCTTCGCGGGCCAGACGCGACCTGCAGGCCGTAAGTAGTAACCACTGAGCTGGAACATGCAATCCTCCACTGGAGCTCCGTGACTTTGAACATTTCAGTTTTCCTCATTCCTAACCTATGAAAACATATGTTTCCGCGGTATATTATTGTCAATGAAATTCATCGTGAATGCGCTATCAATTAGAATTCTGACTATTTTACAATTACTCATAGTGCTCAAATTATAACGAGTACCGTGTGTTTGATGACTATACAAACAAAACGTACTACCAATCAAAATTCCGATCACTTTTAAACATAAACAAAATAACAGACACAAAACAAAAAAGAGAAGAAAAGAATTAAGTGAAAAAATTTTAAAATTATGTTTTTCAAATGGACAAGAAAGAAAAATTAAATTACATAACCACATGAACCACATGATAACCACTTGAATAATGAAAACCGTAGAGTGCATCACTTACTTTATAAACCTCTATCTCCACGAAAAACTAAGACCATGTTACACAGCTTTCCGTTTTACATTATTTATGTAACAAAACTATTATTTTGTCGTTGTTAATGAAAGCGGAATGCATTTTGTTTGCAGAACTAAAATTATTACTCTCTAAGCGTAAAAGGAAAGATAAATATGACGTTTTGAGAGAAAATATTTGTTAATTTGAATTTAAAATCAAATGATAGTGGATGTGTGAACTACTCTGGATTGTATTACGAAGAAAAATATTACATTTTAATGCATGTAACACACGCGCTTTCAATTATTTTTGTTGAGAAAAAAAATTTAAAAACAACCTACTGAAAAGAGAAAACTGTAAAAAAAGCTTCTCTCCCTTGTATTATTATTCTATAAAAAAAGTTGTACATTGAGGAAAATATTTTATAAGAATATACCATGTACTTTACAATGAATTAAAATGGATTTTTTAAACATATATTAATATTTGTAATCAAGGAACATCAAAATATGCATTTATAAATACATTATACGCATGTTTAGGTCCTCTTTTTGGATTGGTAAGCACAATTGCTAGCTTATCTGGATTTATAATACCGATTCTATCTGGAAAATTAACAAAAGATGAGGTAAGTTTAATCTTTCGATATTTTCTTGACATAATCAAATAATATTAATATGTTACTAACAAAGTTAAAAATTCGGCTTGGTATACAATATACAATACAAAAAATCGTCCAGCAAAGTATGAAAATGATTAATTATTTCTTAAATTATCTATGCAATACGTACAATGTCAAGAATTAGCCAGTAAAATATAAAATATAAATATTTCATTTTTATAATTAGTGTGATTAAGATTCATTAGTATCAATTGAAAGTAAAATCGTGGTACAACCTGTAAGTTCATAATTTATTTTGTCTCCTTTAATAAGAAAAGTATTTAATTTTAATAATCACCATTGTATCACCCATTTGATCCCGTTATAAATGATAATCACGTTAGCCTGGACGGAATAACTGGGATAATTACCCGGTGGAAATGTGTTGTCGATTGCCCGGTATTTATTACACTGGCTATCATTTTAAGCTTAAGGATTATTTTTCAGTATTCCGTATACTGATGTTTATTCTAATTGTATATTATTGGATTGAATATAATTTGTCATTCATAATAAAACATTGATTTATGTATTATATTAAAAAAATGCTTTTTTTTTTGTAAACTCATCAGTAATATTTTTCAAACAAGAAAACGAAAAAAATCTGCTGTTTCTTTCTCTGTGATTTCCATACTTTTTACTTTGCTTTTTAATTCTCATATTTCATAATTTTCCAAAATTCACACTGCATGTTACGCAATGTGGTTCCATAATAATAATATAATTCCCATAATAATCTTCTATTATAGATAATTCTCTTACGTGGCTCCCAAATTTTGACTGTATTTCTTTTCCGCCGGTGGCAACGTTTGCTTTGTTTTGTTTACGTTAAAACAAAAGTAGAAGCATTT